TTCACCTTAGGGTTGCCATAAATTGGAAACAACTTAAAGGCACACAGCAAAGACAGAGGGACAAAGTGCTTTACAGTCCCCTCTTTGAAGGGCTGCCCAGTCTGAGTCTGGTTGAAAAATAAAAACTCAAAAGAAGGCTAGCCACAGGAGGCTTGACGTTGCCCTACTTAGTATTTGAGCCGTTTATTTCTCTTTATATTTTAGACATGGTTCTTAAACTGATGGCCTAGATCATGCATCGTCAATATAACTACGATGATGGAGTGCTGTCATTACGTTTATGCCCTTTGCAAAGAAATTTTGTTTGTTTTGGTTGTGTGTCTTTAGGTCCTTTGCAACTTATGATGACTCTAAGACAATGCTATCCACCGGGTTTTCTTATTCAGAGGAGGCTTAGAGAATTGGACTTTCCTGGGGTCATAGTCCAACAATCAAACCATTACACCATGCTGGTTCCCAAAAATGACATACCAGGGACAGTCCTGATTCATTGTCTGTCATCCCAGTTGCATTTAAAATGTCCCGGTGTTTCTCTCCTCCTCCCATTTTTCTTTGTCTTTAACCATTACTTCAACAATTGCAAATGGAGTTCAATATGCAAAAGTTGTTTGCACTCTGTTAACTCAGTATAAAGGAGAGGACAGGAAACAACTAACAAATAACATTAAAAACTAGCAAATAACTTTAAGGAAAAATAATGGATGGAGAAAGTAATTTGCCCTCTCTCTGGAAAGAAGCCAAAGTTAACAGCAACCTACTTGTCAATTTTGAGTCTTCCCCTCCCCCTTAAAAGAATTCTGAGGTTCCTAAAAAAAATTTGGGATTCCACGTGAACATTAGGAAGAACATTTGTACAGTACAACCCCAGTATCCATGGACTGGTACCCATGGTTTCACTTACCCATGTCCAAAAAGTATATTCTCTCTAGGAATCTCTCGGTCCTCCATGGTTAACTTCTGCTGGAAGGCATTCATTTATTTCAATAGGGTTTCACTATTATCCACGGTTTCTTTGGTGAGTCCAGGAACATATCCCGCATGGATACAGGGATTGTGCTGTACTATAACAGCTTTTCAACAGTGGAATAGACTGCCTCAGGGAGGTGGTGGACTCTCCATCTTTGGAGGTCTTTGCACAGAAACTGGATGACCATCTGTCAGGAGTGCTTTGATTGTGTATTCCTGCATGGAAGAAGTAGGTTGGACTGGATGGTCCTTGTGGTCTCTTCCAACTCTGAGATTATATGATTCTACCTAAATAGCATCTCCTGCCTTGACCTTCCTAGTCATTAGTTACTGGGCATTATCTGTTCCAAACTATATTCTCCTGACAATAGGGGTGCAGCAGACTGATATCCATCCTCCTACCAGCAAACTCTGGGGTGACAATCAGAAGCAGGATCCCTGTTGCAATTCTAGAGATTGCTGGTGAGGGGGTGATGGAAACACCAGTCTTCTGCAACCTGATTGAAAGGAGACTAGAGCTCTGCCTCTCACAGCAGCTGGTGACTGTTAAGGTAGGATTTGGAGACGTTTATGATCATGACAATAGAATCATAGAGTTGGAAGAGACCACAAGGGCCATCCAGTCCAACAGAGGCTTTCATTAATATAAATCAGTTATGAATGTGTAACTTGCCTGTGGAAACCTACTGGGTGACCTTGGGTGAGTCGCATATGCAAACCCATGACAGGGTCACCAATAAGTTGGAAAAGACTTGAAGGTACACAACAACAACAACAAGAACCTCTAGGTTAATTGCACCAGATGATTTTTAAAAAGTTGAAACACACAATTGAACAACCTCATGACACTGAATTATGTCTCTTCTCCAAAATCCTCTCTACAGGTTTCAAAAGAGAAAGTGCAGATTTTGTTAATATCTTTTCCCCATTCAGAAAAAAAAACACCCTGAGTCTTGTTTGTTTCAAACAAACTGAATCAGTTACTGAATGATGAGTCAACATATTGATTCTGTTGGTTGACTCCCATTGGGACTAACTCTAGGAGTCACTGATATAAGAACTCTCTGGCCTGAAATCAATTGGTTACTCCAGACTAGAGTAGATACATTGCATCAATTAGATTTATCTACATGCTGTTTCGCCGATTGTGTCAGTGGATCCACACCAGTTGAGACTGATGCTGTTACTCTTTGATGTTAAGTAAAATCTATGGCAACCCAGTCAACAAGAGACCCACAAGACACCTTGTCATCAACTCAGGTCTTGCAAACTCAGGGCCTCTTTTGTGCTGTGTGTCCAGTGGTGTGGTTTTTCCCACCAGTGACTAATCCATCACTATGGAAAATGTCTACATCCATGTGTCTACACAGAATTCCTACACATTGGACCTCTGCCACCCATTCTCTAGGTGTCAGAGAGAATTTCAAAACCCACCTGAATGTTTGTGGGTCAGCTTAGACTTTTGGCAATATCAAAGAGTCCTGATCATTAAATGACCTGGTCAGGTCTTGCAAACCCAAGGTTGTAGAGTCTATCCACCTGTAATATGGTCCTTCTTTTTTTCTACTGCTGTCCACTTTGTTGTTGTTGTGTCCCTTCATGTAATTTCCAGCTTACAGCAACCCTAAGGTGAACCTGTTGTTGTTGTTGTTTTGTGCCTTCAAGTTGTTTCTGGCTTATGATGACCGCAAAGGCTTTTCTTGGCAAGATTCGTCCAGAGGAGACTTGTCATTGCCTTCCCCTGAGGCTGAGAGCATGTGGCTTTGCCAAGGTCACACAGTGGGTCTCCATGGCTGAGCAAGGATTCAAATCCTGGTCTCCAGAGTCATAGTCCAATTATCAAACCACTACACTACTCTGGTTGTCATAAGCTCAACCTATCATGGATTCTCTGGGGCTGAGAGTGTGTGCCTCATCCAAAATCACTCAGTGGGTTTCCATAGCTGAATGGTGAATCAAACCCTGATCTCCAGAGTTATAATCCAACACTCTACCACTAGACCATGCTGGCTCTCTCTCCGCCTTAATAAGCATTATTCTATTTTGAAATATATCATCCCATGATATGTCTAAAATACGATAGCCTCAGTTCAGTCATTTTGGCTTCTAGGGAGAGTTCAATCTTGATTTGTTCTAGGACCCATTTCTTTGTCTTTTCAGCAGTCCATACTATCTGTAAAGCTCTTCCCCAGCTTGGTTATAATTGCCTTCAACTCAGCTTCAGCTCTACTCCTTACAGCTCTACTCCGATTTTGCAAACTTAAGGTCATGGCTTCCTTGATGGAGTCTATCCACCTGTAATGTGGACTCCCTCTTATCCCTCTGCCTCCCATATAATATCATCTTCTTAAACTGTCATGTCATCTCACAATATGACCAAAGTACAATAGCCTCAGTTTAGTCATCTTGGCTTCTAGGGAGAAATCAGGCTTGATTTGATCTCATTTTGCTCATGTTGGCAAACCACAATATTTGCAGAACGCTCCTCCAGCACCACCTTTCAAATGGGTTGATTCACTTCCCATCAGCTCTCTTCACTCATCATTGTTGTTGCTAACTGCCCGCAAACAGACTTCAACTCATGGCATCCCTGTGGATGAGACATTGCCTGTCCTCCACTGTTCTGCTTAGGTCTTGTAGATTCATGTTCGTGTCTTCCATCTGGTGTCCAGTCTTGCTCTCTTCCTACTGTCCTCCACCTTTACTAGCATCATTGTCTTTTCTAGTGAGTCGTGCTTTCTCTTGATGTGGCCAAAGTACGACAACCTGAATTTGATCATCTTGGCTCCTAGGGGTATTTCAGGCTTGATCTGCTTAAGGACCCATTTGTTTGTCTTTTTGACCATCCACGGTATCTTCAGCACTCATCTCAAATCAGCTGATTGTCTTTTCTTCCACTTTTTTTTTCACTGCCCAGCTCTGAAATCCATACATAGAATCATAAAGTTGGAAGAGACCCCATGGGCCATCCACTCCAACCCCCTTCTGCCATGCAAGAAGATGCAATCAAAGCATTCTCGACATAAGGCCATCCAGCCTTTGTTTAAAAACCTCCAAAGAAGGAGACCAGCTTTCACAACTGTACATAGACATCAGAAATACTGTGGCATGGTAGAGACGAAAAAACAGGACTCCAAGCAATGCTAACCTGGTATCATCCCCATGAAGAGATTGCAAGGTACTTGAACACCACTTGTCCTTCCTTGCTTGTTTCCCTCCTTCCTTCCTTTCTGTCCTTTAGGCTTTTACTCTTTTCTTTTGTGTAGAAACCCTCTTTAGAAGTCCATCCCCAAAAGAGTCCATGCCGTTCCTCTCCCCGCACCCCAACAATGCCCTCCTGACAACTACCATTGGGTTTTCTGCCAACGCACACCTAACCCTTTTGCACTGGTGCACAGCCCACATACGGTTGTGCCCCCATCGGCATGGCAACAACACGTTTCGCCCGACACAAGGCTGCCATGAACAGCTGCACCAAAGGAAGGAGAAAAGGAAAAGCAAAGAAGCATGGGGGCACCTGAGCCCCTA